AGAGTCTGGCCTCATTTACAGTCCTTCAGTACTTAGAACAAAGCTGGCACGTTAGGCCTCAAAGAACATTTGTCAAATGAGGATTATTCTGTCCTCCCTGTTTTATATCTTGGGGGATTGGAGGATGTGATTTGCCTAAAGCCCTCACAACTAAGTCCTGAGAGGACTTGAACTAGGAACACCAGCCTATTACTTTTAGAGATGTCGTCTTACCAGTCCAGAAGAATGACCATCTCCTAGATTAAAAAAGAAAAAGATGACGAGCAAACCTACGGCCAGTGACTAAGCTGATATGAAATAAGCATTTCCCACTTGTCATTATTTCAGGAGAACTGGGAAGCTGCCTCTGGTACTTAAATACAAGTCACTTCCCTGTCTTTAGGGAGAACTTTTAAGAAATAGAAGCATTGACAGAGAAGGAATTAAGTTCAGTTGGTGTTGCTGAGCTCCTTAAACAGTCCAGAAGGGGAAGGGACTTACCCAGGGCTACACAGTGAGTGAGAAGTAGAGCTGGAACTGGAATCAAGTGTTTTACTTACCTGCCAGGTGAGGACATTTTGGTGCACTCTCCTGCCACACTCTGATGCAGCCATCATGGCTGTATGCACAAGTGTGAGCAGAAAACACTCCCATTTCTGGAGTGATTTTTCTTTTGTAATGTGCTCTACTGTTGACTGAGTTCCTTTGTGCCCAATATTTATTCACCATCCATTTACTGACCACTGCCATGTAGCTGGCCCTGTACCACATGCTGAGGAATCAGAGATTATAACATTGCTCCCCAACACCTATGCACTCTAGTAGGGAAGCAGGTATGTTCACTTATTCGCTCAGTCAATATTTTTTTAAAAAGATATTCAGATGGTATAAAATCCACCCTTTTAAAGAGTACAAGTGGTTTTGAACATAGAAAGTTGTGCAAGTATCACCATTATCTCATTCCAGAGCATTTTTATCACCCCCAAAAGAAACCCCATATCTATTAGGAGTCATTCCCCAACCCCTCCGACTACTTAGCCCCTGGCAACCAGTATCTACTTTCTGTCTCAAAAGATTTGCCTCTTCTGGGCATTTCATGTAAATGGAGTCATGCGTGTGGCCTTTTGTGTCTGGCTTCATTCACTTAGCATAATGTTTTCAAAGTTCATTCATGATGTATTGGCATGTCAAGACTCCATTCCTTTTTATGGCCAAATAATATTCCATTGTATAGATATACCACACTTTGTTGATCTATTCATTATTTCTTGGATATTTGGGTTGTTTCCACTTTTTGCTTATTATGAATAATGCTGCTATGAACATTATGTACAAGTTTTGTTGTGGACATGCGTTTTCAGTTCTCTTGTGTATATACCTAGGAGTGGAATTGCTGGGTCATAATGGTAACTTATGTTTAACTTTCTGAGAAACTGCCCGTTGTTTCCTAAAGTGGCTGCACCAACCTACATGTCCATGATCGATGTATTTAGAGTTCCAGTTTCTTCACATTTTCAGCAAACTTGTTACTGTCTTTTTTTCTTTTTGATTATAGCCATTTTAATGGGTTTGAAGTGGTATTTCATTGTGGTTTTGGTTATTTGCATCTCACTGATAACTAGTTGAGCATATTTTCATGTGCTTGTTGACCATTTGTATATCTTCCTTGGAGAAATGTCTATTCAAATCCTTTGTCCATTTTTAAATTGAGTTGTCTTTTTATTGTTGTGTATATGAGTTCTTCATATATTCTGGACACTTAGACCCTTATCAGATATATAATTTGCAAATATTTCCTCCCATTCTGCAGGTTCTTTTCACTTCTTTTTGAAGTATAAATGACTCACAATATTATGTTAGTTTCAGGTGTCCACCATAGTGATTTGATATTTTTATATATTACAAAATGATCACCACCATAGGTCTAGTGACCATCTGTCACCATACAAAGTTATTACAGTATTATTGGCTCTATGCCCTATGCTGTATCCCCATACTTATTTATAACTGGAAATTTGTACCTTGTAATATCCCTCACCTATTACATTCAACCTCCTGCCTCCTTCCCTGTGGGCAACCACGTTTGTTCTCTGTATCTATGAGTCTATTTCTGTTTTGTTATGTGTTTTTTTGATTCCACATATAAGTGAAATTATATGGTATTTGTCTTTCTCTGACTTACTTCACTTAGCATAATACCCTATAGGTCCATCCATGTTGTCGCAAATGCTAAGATTTCATTCGCTTTTATGGCTAATATTCCACTGTATATGTGTATATCCATTTATCCATCTATGGACACTTAGGTTGCTTCCATATATTGGCTATTGTAAATAATGCTGCAGTGAACATAGGGGTGCATATTTCTTTTTGAATTTGTGTTTTGCTTTCTTTGGATAAATACCCAGGAGTGGAATTGCTGTATCATATGGTAGTTCTATTTTTAATTTTTTTGAGGAAACTCCATAGTGTTTTCCATAGTAACTCCCCAATTTACATTCCCACCAACAGTGTACAAGGTTCCTTTTTCTCCACATCCTCGCCAGCACTTGTTATTTGTTGTCTTTTTGATAATATCCATTCCTACAGGTGTGAGGTGATATCTCATTGTGGCTTTGATTTGCATTCCTCTAATGATTAGTGATACTGAGCATCTTTTCACTTGTCTGTTGGCCATTTGTATAGCTTCTCTGGAAAAAAAATGTCTATTCAGGTCCTCTGCCATTTTTTAATCAGGTTGCTTGGGGTTTTTTGTTTTGTTTTTAAATTAATTTATTTATTTTAAATTTTTGGGTTGGGTCTTTGTTGGGTCTTCGTTGCTGTGCACGGGCTTTCTCTAGTTGCGGAGAGCAAGGGCTACTCTTCGTTGCAGCACGCGGGCTTCTCATTGCGGTGGCTTCTCTTGTTGTGGAGCATGGGCTCTAGGCACATGGGCTTCAGTAGTTGTGGCACACAGGCTTAGTTGCTCCGCGGCATGTGGGATCTTCCCGGACCAGGGCTCGAACCCATGTCCCCTGCATTACCAGGCGGACTCTTAACCACTATGCCACCAGGGAAGTCCCTATTTTGTTTTTCTGTTGATGTTGAGTTGTATGAGTTCTCTGTATATTTTAGATAGTAACCCTTTATCAGATATATCATTTACAAATATCTTCTCCCATTCAGTAGGCTGCCTTTTTGGGTTTTCTGTTTGTTTGTTTGTTTTGGCTGCGCCTCGAAGCTTGCAGGATCTTAGTTCCCCAACCAGAGATCAAACCCTGGCCCCCTGCAGTGGAAGCACGGAGTCCTAACCACTGGACCACCAGGGAATTCCCTTGCTTTTTCGTTTTGTTGATAGTTTCCTTTGCTGTGCAAAAGCTTTTAAGTTTGATGTAGTTTCACTTGTTTACTTTTGCTTTTGTTTTCCTTGCCTGAGGAGACATTCCCAAAAATATTGCCAAGACCAATGTCAAAGAGCATACTGCCAGGAATTCCCTGGCAGTCCAGTAGTTAGAACTCTGCAGTTTCACTGCCGAGGGCCCAGGCTCAATCCCTGGTTGGGGAACTAAGATCCCACAAACAGCACGGCCAAAAAAAAGAAAAAAGAAAAGAGCATGCTGCCTATGTTTTCTCTTGGGTGTTTTATGGTTTCAGGGCTTCACTTTCTTTTTTTTTTTTTTTTTCCTTGCGTTATGCGGGCCTCTCACTGTTGTGGCCTCTCCCATTTGCGGAGCACAGGCTCCGGACGCGCAGGCTCAGTGGCCATGGCTCACGGGCCCAGCCGCTCCGCGGCATGTGGGATCTTCCCGAAACGGGGCACGAACCCGCGTCTCCTGCATCGGCAGGCGGACTCTCAAGCACTGCGCCACCAGGGAAGCCCAAGGGCTTCACTTTCTTGATAGTGTCCTTTAATGCACAAAATTTAAAATTTCTGACCAAATCCTAATTATTTTCCCTCTGGTGGCTTGTGCTTTTGGTGTCCTAGCTAAGAAACCATTGCCTAATCCTAGGTCACGAAGATTTACACCTATGTTTTCTCCTAAGAGTTTTATATTTTTAGCTCATAATTCAGGTCACTGATTTATTGAGTCAATTTTATATATGGTAGGGGTCCAATTTCATTCTTTTGCATGTCGCTATTCAGTTGTCCCAGCACCATTTGTTGTAAAGACTATTCTTTCCCTCATTGAATTGGCACCCTTACTGAAAATCAATTAACTATACATTTATGGGTTTCATTCAGTCGTGTATTTATTGAGAAGTTACTAAAGATCAGGCACCACCAGACACTGGGGAACTGATTCTTAAGTCTGGTGTGTTCTTTTCCCTGATAAAACTTGCAGACTAGTAGAAATGACAGACGTTAAATAGTTATCACATAAGCAATTAATCAGTTATTTTTGTGATGAGTGTTAAAAGCACATACTAGTGTCACCAGAGGCCTTAGCCTAGTGGGGGAGGAGGACAGCGAGAAAGGGAGTGCAGTGGCAAAGTGAGGCTGGCGGTGGCTGGTGCAGAGCCTCGAATGGCCTGCGAAGGAATATGTACCTTGTCATAGGGCAAAAGGAAGCCCCTGAGGATTCTGAAGCAAGAGAATGGGATGATCGGTTTAATTAAAATATCAGTCTAAGTGTTGTACGGAAAATAGATGAGCAGGGGACCAAATGAATGCAGGGAGACCTAGCAGATTACTCTAGTAGTTCAGATGAGAGATGACGGCAGCCCGGGCTTGCTTAGTAGTAGATGGGGCCAGGCAGACTGATATTTAGGAAGAAACTGTAGGACTTGGGGACTGATTGGATGTGAGGGATGAAGGAGGAGTCAAGGACTACATTTCTGGACTGAGCAACTGGTTATTAACTGAGACAGGGAGTACTAGAATAGAGGCAGGTTTCCAGGGGCTGGGGATGCAGTATGGACATTTTGAACTTGTGATGTCTGAAAGTCATCTAAGGCACGTTAAGCAGACAACTGGATATACAGGTCTGGAGCTCAAGAGAAGTCTGGGATAAACATACAAATTTGGCATCTTTGGCAGAGAGGTGGTACTTGAAAGCACAGAGTGGATGAGATTGTCAAGTGGAGGGTGTGGATGGAGCAAAGGAGGTGAACAAGAACTGATGTCTGAGGCTGGTAGAAAATGAGCTAGAGGGGTAGGAGGAAAACCAAGAGTATAGTGTCACAGAAGCCAAGGGACATGGTCCACCATGCGAAATGTTGCTGAAAGTCAATGAAAGAACAGGATGCATGCCAGAAAGTATGTCTAAGATCCAGGAGCGTCTGTCACCGAGGGGGACGAGGGATCAGCTTTGCTGGGGGCTGGGGATTGAGGGTTTTGGGGAGATGTTTCTCAGAAAACAGATTCTTGAGTTGCTACAGTGTTGGTGATTTATAAGTTAATCTACTGGAAACATCTCCCCTGCAGGCCGAGACGCATCCAGAGCGTTTGTGACCGGGGACTACTCTGAAGGAGGCCTTGTGGATGATGTATCTGACCTGTCATTTTCTGAGATGCTGACACTCCAAAGTTGGCTTTCATTCTATGAGAAGAATTATGAATTCATCGGTAAGTATTCCACAGGTCATTTCCATAGATTTCATTTAGTTGTCTTGCAGTTGTTTTTGTTTTGTTTTGTTTGTCTTGCAGTTTTTTTAAGGGGCTAGAATTCTTTGGGGATTGGACTCAAGGTTAAAATCTGAAAAATGCCCATGGATTTTTCACCTTAAACTCTGGCTGTCAGTGTGGCGCATGTCCCAGAAGGAAATGGCTGGGGCGCTTGTTTCCGTCACCTTTTTTTTTTGGCCGTGCCGCGGCTTGTGGGATCTCAGTTCCCTGACCAGGGATCCAACCCAGGCCCTCGGCAGTGAAGGCGCGGAGTCCTAACCACTAACCCGCGGGGAGGTTCCTGTTTCCCTCGCTCTCGCTCCTGGGAGAGGACTGCCCGACCACTGGCTTCGGCCTCTGCTGCCCCACAGCCTGCGCCACTCTTGAGTGACTCGCCCAGGAAGGCAGCTTCCCCATCTCGCTGTGTTCCAGGCGTCTGGCTTCAGACACAGTCAGGGAGGCTCAAAGCCTGTTTGCAAATGGTTTTGACAAATATCCTTTTACTTCGTCCCCGAAGGAGACAGACATTAACCTGTGCCCATCCTCAACGAACTGCCTCCCAGGTGGAAGTCATGCTCATCAAACACTTGTTCAAGCCAGTTGTGTGGAGCGCCGCACCTGCTACCTAAATGAGAAGATACCTAACGGTGTCCTAAAGAAATGTTAGACACTAAACAGTAGATTGCTTCACAAACACTGACAACTGGGATGGTTGGGCCCCTGTTCTCCATCTACTGCTGCCCTGACCTCTCATTGGAGCCCACTTAGACACGGCTAATTTCCTGAAGAACATCAGTGTCACTTCACCCTGGAACAGGTCTAAATTGGAAGTTCTTTCTCTGCCCCTAATGCCCCTGCATGTCTGCTTCTGTCATTACTCCCTGGGTAACCTTTGCTGAGAACCTTTCACTGGCATTTTCACTGACTCCTCTGCTCCCTCCACGTCCAACTAGCCAAGGCTTTTTTCATGAATCTGAAGTTCTGTTTCCATTGCCCCCTCTTCCACACCCACCACTGTTGGCCCGTCACCCCAACCTGCAGCACCCCCCATCTTTGTTTTCACCCAGTCTGCACCAGGCCACTCCTCAGATCACAACTGTTTGCCACTGAAGGAACTGACCTCTATCCGTCTGGCCTTCAGAAGGCTTGGTTCTCCCTTTTCCCCATAAAGTTGCCAAACCAAAGCTGAAACATGACTGTGTTAATAAGGAAAAAACCCAACACAGAAGAATAAAAGTGGAGTCCTGTGTGTCAGCAAAGGATGCCAGACCAAACACATCATACTGATATCGAGGAGCAAACTGATGTGTTTGGTAAGATGAGTGAACTCGTCTTGTCTGAACAGTGTTAACGTGCAGGGGAGTGAGGGGCACATGGTCAGAAATGCCTCCAAAGGACTGTAGTAATGCCTCCGAAGGACTGAGTATCTGCTATGGATATGCTGTGGTTCTGGTCCTCATGGGGACCACAGATGAGCTGAATGCAGTTCCTGTCCTGTGTTAGCTCATTCTGTAGGGGGAGGGCAGTGTTAGGTTCTTTCAGGGCACCAGAAACCCTCAGGACAGAGCGTCAGAAGATGAAGGTTTATTACACAGGTGCACACTGAAGGACGACAGCAGGAAGCCATCTTGACAGCCACATGGCCAGGCCTCGAGGGGAAACGAGATGCCATTTTTGTGTTCTGGAGACCCAGCCAATGGTGACCGCCATTCTCACGACACAGCTTCTGCCTCTTTCTCTGTTGCCTCTACTACTGCTGTCCTCTCTTTGGGTCTCATGTCTAAAACCCACCAGGACAGGCTTCTCACCATGCATACAGAGACCCTCTATAGGAGAAAGTGCGGTGCCAGGCCAACTCACAGACTGAAGGCCTGGGACTTGGGCCCTGCTCCCTTCATTTATTCTAACAAGCGTTCAAAATGAATGCTCTGAACTAAGCTGCTTTGAGTGCTGGGGCCTCACTGGTGGGGAGAGCAATATCATAAACTAGTAAACTGACTAGACAATTCCAGATAGGACTGTGAATAAGCTAAAACTAATGTGATGCATGTTTGGGCATGTGCGTGACACCTTTAGAGCAGACGGTCAGGGTAGCCTCTTGGGGGAAATAAAAATTAAGCTGAGACCTGGGAGGTGAGAAGGAGCCAGCCATCCTGAGATCTGAGAAGAGAGTATTTCAGGCTGAGGGAACAGAGTGCACGAGGTGGGGAGCAGCGAAGCATGGTCAGGGAGCCTACAGTGAGGGAGGGGACCGCTCAAGAGGAGGCTGAAGAAGCAAACACAAGTCAGATGGTTGTCTTGGAGGCCTCTGATAAGAAGTTTATGTTTTATCCATATGTTTTCGGAAGCCATAGGAGGGTATAAGCCAGGCATGGACGTGTGATTTACGTTTTTAAAAGGTCACCCCAGCTACTCTGTAGAGAAAGAACTGTGGGAAGGAATGAGCTGAAGCAGAGACCATTGGGAGGCCACTGTCGTAATCCATCGTCTGGATTAGGGTGGTAGCAGTGGAAATGGAAAGGAATGGGCAGAATCAGGGTGTTTAAAGGTTGGACCGACACGATTCACTCATGGTTTGGACATGAACGAAGGGAAGTGTACATTTAGATGTGAAGGAGTCGTCAGAGATCCAAGGCTCCTAAGCCAGGGAACACAGGCAGAAGTGATAATAATAGGGACCTCCCTAGCAGTCCCCTGGTTAGGACTCTGCACTTCCACTGCAGGGGGCCTGGGTTCAACCCCTGGTTGGGGAACTAAGATCCCACGAGCCACATGGAGTGGCCGAAAAAACAAAGTGATAATAGAATTGGAAAGGTCAGAATAGGGTGTTGGACTTGAGAAGATGAACTGAATCTTGGGTACACGAACGTACCCTGGAATCTCAGTTCTCAGGGACTGAGAAGATTGGACAGACACAGCAGGGGCAGGTATATACGGATACCTCCTCCTACTTGGGCAAACCTTCTAGAAGTGCTTTCTGCTGCTTCTCTTGCCCTGTGACAGGGGCTGCTGTGAAAGCCACTTGCACTTCAGGACTTGGAGATGAAAGTTCCTGCATCTAAGAACTGATCACTTCTTGGCTCTGGCCTACAGGCTCACTGACTACTTGCTGACCACTGCCATAGCTTAGACCTTACAAATTCTGACAGGGATTTTAAACTAAAACCAGTTTCCACTCAGTTTGTCCACTGAAGGACTGAGCCGTAAAAGAATGGTGGAGGGGAGAGCATGAGCTCAGGGCTAGCCCCACTTACTAGCTTCAGAGACTTCCCAGCTATTCAGTCTCCCAGTCTCTCTCCTAGGACCCCGGGAGCACTGATTTCTCTCTCAGACGGGTGTTAGGAGGATTACAAAATACTGGTAAAGTGCTAGCACAGCTCCTGATGCTAAGTGAACACTCATAAATGACTTATTTATATCCATATAAGACAAAATAATTCAATGTGGGGAAGAAATGAGCCACAAAAATGTTATGCAATAAGCCATTCATTCATCAAGCATTTCTTGAACACCTACTGTGTACCTCAAGCACTGTGGAACATTGCAAAATGAGTGACATGTGGGGAAAGATTTTATAATTTCCGTGCTGGAGGACTCTACATCTAGAACAGGGAGACATCTATCCAGAGTCGTATAAGATGTTGAGAGACATCGGGATAGAAGGCAACACAAGTCCCTCCAACCAGTTCTTAATCAATCAGCAGCCAGCAGGCTCCTGTGGAAGGCGGAAGCCCTGGGGACTTGGCTTTACCAGGACTTCTGCAGGAGCTAAGCCTCTGTTCCTGCCCCCCCCTCCCACGGCTACTCTGATGTCAGCTTTCCTGTCACCACAGGGAGGGTGACAGGAAGGTTCTACGGAGAGGATGGGCTACCTACTCCAGAACTGACCCAGGCAGAAGCCATGATCACCAAAGGCTTGGAGGCAAATAAACAGGAACTGAAAGAGAAGCAGAAGTTTCCCCCATGCAATGCTGAGTGGAGCTCAACCCGGGGCAGCCGGTTCTGGTGCTCCCAGAGGAGGTAAATGGGCTTCCCTTCTGTTCCTCCCGCCTCTCCCCCAAATCCGTCTTCTAGGTCACCCCATCTGTGTTGTTCAGTGAGGCCGTAAATTGACTGTTAACCCAGGGGCACTCTGTCAAAATACGTGTGCTCTGGGATAGCGATTCTCAAGCCAGACGCTGCTTTTGAGACGCTCAGAGGCCAGTGGGGGAAAGCCTTTCACAGGTGTTGCCACCAGGGCAGGGAAGTGGCGCTGCCTCCTAGGAAGGCAGAGGGCAGGGGCCGGAGCAGCAGTGAAAGGACGACGGGCTGTGCCCTCGGAGGGGAAGCTGGAGGACCTCAGGGGAGAGCAAGAAGGTTCGTGTGAACGCTGCAGACCACCGCCTTGGGAGAACACCAAGGCGGCAAGTGAAATGGCTTCTGCTTTTCACAAGGCCTGGCCCACTGCTCCCTCTCCTCCCTTCCCAGAGAAACTCACGACTTCATGCTTTAAGCAGCCTCTTTCCTTCTCTCCTTAGTGGAGGTGTGAGCAGAGACTGGACTGGCGTCCCCAGGAAGCTGTTTAAGCCAGGTGCCAAGGAGCCCCACTGCGTGTGTGTGAGAACAACTGGCCCCCCTAGTGACCAGACGCCGGACAACCCTACGCACAGAAGTCGTGGGGACTTGGACCACCCCAACTTGGAGGAATACACAGGCTGCCCACCCCTAGCCATCACATGCTATGTCCCCCTCTGAGCTGGTACCCTGTATGTCCATAACCCACAGGGAACCCTCACCTGCCTTTCCCTAATGGGCCCTTGACTCCTGTGCCCTAGGATGGCTCCTACATGAAACAAGAGGGCCTGGAAGGACTGGGCCATGCTCTGCAGACAGGACTCATGCCCCTCCCCATGGGCTCACCACTTTGGTGACTGAGGCCAGCGCTTGGCAACCTGCCTAGTACTGGTCGGCCTGTTTTTGCCACTATTCCGCTAGATCTCCTCACCATCATCGTTTGGAGTTCACAGGTATTAATGGGCACAAATTTGACCAACTCAGAGCTAACTGGACAGACACGCAGAAGGGCTCTGAGCTCCAACAGCTTCCTTTCTACGGACTCCCAGGCTGTCCAGATCAGCTGCCAGCCTGGGCCCTGCTTGTAACGCTCATCCTGACCAGGACATCGGGGGCTACGTCATTCCCTTACAACTCAGAAACAAGCAGACACATCCAGAAAAGCCATATGAACCAACAGTGTCAACACAACCCTGTTCCGGTTCCCCACTTGCTAATGTGAGCCCTGTCTTTTACAACCTTTCTTAAAAGTAAGACCTCTGCCCTTAGGCAAACTTGAATTTATCAATCCAACCAAAAGCCACATTGAGTTAATTCGAGCTGGACCAATATAGTGAGAGGTGACAATAAAACAGGATAGGCTAGTTCTGGAAATGGAAACGTTTTTGCTTATAGGGATGCAGCAAATCCAGATGACTCTGAACAAAGCAACAATTTAAAGCAAAGATATTGTTTCTCTTTTAAACACTTAAAATTAGGGGTGGTGTGTTTTCAAAGGGAGAAGTCTGCATTTTGAGCAAAAGGTAGTTTCACAGCTCTAACATGGACACTGGCTAGCGCAACATCAAAGTTTGGGCAAGGCTACAAATGCCAATACAAACAGCCTCAACAGTGGGTGGTGTGTCCAAGGTCATCTGTAATTTCCCACACTGGACCAAGTTCATACCCATTACCTCCTCGATTCTCGTTAAGCTCGTGGGGGCAGAGTTCCTACCTTACAGGTAAGGAAACGAATCTGGAGCGATTACAGGTTCATGGTCTCCCCATCTGCGCCTTCACCTCAACTTCTCCCAGTCCCCTCAGCTGTTAATCTAAACATTCTCTGTCCTCCTTTTCTTGGTCTTTTTTCCTCTCCTTTATCATTAATCTCACTTATAATAGCTCTCCAGATTCACGGACTGGAAAACGGAGGCTGCCTGCCCTAACTGGTGTGGCTCGATGCCCTTCGGCCACAGCTGCTCTTCGCACCTGAATCCTGCTCTTGGCTCCTTTTGCCATCCAGGATCTTCCTCACCGGCCTTTCCGGCACCTTTAACCTCTTCCTGCCTCCCAGCTCTTCCCTCTAAGTCTGCATTCAACAGCTCACTTCCCTTCCCTCCTGCCCCATCCTTCTGAGGCCCCGTAACTCCTTCCTGTCCCTACTTCCCGCCCCAGCGAAGCTCTGGAGAATGCTGCAGGTACTCAGGCTCTGCTCCTCAGCCCCCATCTGCCTGCAACACAGTCGCCCAGCTTCGCCCTTCCCTGCGCCACAGCAGGATAAATTCTGTACTGGCAAACCCACGGCCACATTCAATTATTACCTACCTGGACCTGTCCCACTTGAAGGCCCTCATGAAAGCCTCCCTTGGCTTTTTCCCCATTTCCCTCATCTCCCTCAGGGGTCCCTTCCAGCCTCCTGGAAAGCCTCCCCTCCACACGCCTTCCCACCAGCTCCCGTCGCTCCTGCGTCAGCTGCCAAGTCTGCTATCTAGTCCAGGCGGCTTTCCTGACCATTTCTGCAGGCACCGCAGACTCCACAGTTCTGGCATTTAGTCTTCATCTTCCCCCTGGTGATTCTTCCAGTGTCCCTGGATGGTTCCACCATCGCCATCTTAAAGCACCCAGTCACACCAAGTGAGAATCCTGGCCATCATCCCCAGCCCCTTCCCTCCTGAGCCCCTCCTCCTGACCAGTCTCCAGGTCCTGGCAATCCCACCCCTTACCTGTTCAGTACTCCTCCTCTGGTTGAGGCCTTCCTTTCTCACCTGATCTAACTGCACTCCCTCCAGCCCATCCTCCACGCTGCCAAGCCATCCCCGTGATGTTCAGGGCATTCTCCATTTAAACCTCTTCAGTGGCTCCCTTACCTGTAAGGATCAGGTGCTAACTCTTCAGCAGCACACGAGGCCCTTCTAGGGTCTGTCTCCTCTTAGCCTCTGTATCTCTGCCATCACCTCCCACGTGCACTGATCCCTCCAGCCTTCACCTCGCTGCTTTATGCCTGCAACACCTTCACCCCGGCTGTCCCTTCTGCCTGGAATGACATGTCTTCTTCTCAATTTTTCTACCTCTTATCCCTTAATAACTTAGCTCAATCAACTGGGAGGCTTCATTAACCACTGGCCCACCAGTGGATTTAGACACACTTTCCTCTAGGAAAATAATTCTGTGTTCACTTCTAAAATAACGAATGTCACAGTGTCCCGTAACTATGAATTTCCTATCAGCCTCTCGCATTGGACTGCAGATTCTCTTTGAGACAGGGACCAAGGATCACTTGGCTTTGTACCCCCATATCCACCATACCTAGGACACGAGAAGTGTGCAGAATTGGCTCTCTTGCAGATGAGGCAACCGAGGCCCAAAGAACTTAATAAAGGCACATAGCAGTGAAGCTGAGCCTAGAACTCAAGGTTCTTGTCCTGACTCAGTGCTATCTTCGTGCCTCCACGGCTTGGTATGTCTCCGCCCTCCCTGGAGCAGGAGCAAACAGTAAGGAGGCGAACTTAAGTGAGGACCTTATTCTGAGTTCCGCACAGCCCTTGAGCTCAGTGCCTGAGGCACCCCTGCTGACTCAACCCCAGGCTAACTGAGAACTAGTCACTGCCACTGCTCTCCTTAGTCCTTAGTTATTCGACAGATGTTTACCAAGCATCTGTGTGCCATGGGGTTGGGCTGGGAGGAAGTGCGGCTCCTGACCTCAAGGAGCTTGTAGTATGGCCAAGTAAAGCCCTGGTTAGAGCGGCCAGAGGCCACTCCTGGGGTAGGAATGCAGGGATAGCGTGGAGGCCAGGTTCAGAGATGTTTAGATCCTTCCAAAACAAACTGATAAGGAAAAAGAGCAAAACAAGGCACTTAGAGTCATCCCAGCCAAGTACAGACCTGAACTCTGGCTGATGCAAGACCCCTGAGCCCACATTTCAGGACACACTCATCCAGCCTCTGCGGGCTGCTCACTTCCTTGCTCAATGAGCACTCGTTTCCTTTTCGATGCCGACCACTTACTTTATAGGAAACAGCCTCCTCACACCAGGGCAGTGGATGAGTCTTCAAAGGATTCGCCAAGAGTAGGCTGTCATGTTAATGATCCAAAAGGCTCATCCATGAGAAGCTAGTGGTTACTGGAGAAATGCCTCTCCTTCCTCTCTCATGGGCAAGTCTATGAAGGAGGGAGGTGGTCCCTCCCTGATGGAAGCCACAGGAAGTTCAGCTCGGGCAGTTAAGACCTGCTGACAGAGGGAAGTGGAGAAGGAAACTAATACGTGCTGGGCAGGGAGGGAGCTTTATCTGTTCTCACTGAACCTCGATGCCAGCCTTGACAGGGTCTTTTTATGGTCCAGAAAAGGGGCATAAATTCTCCCACCCCACATCTAATGGTTACAACAGTCATTGCACGACAGGGCTGAGTTTTTTGTTTTTGTTTCTTTCTTCCTTCTACATCTTTATTGGAGTATAATTGCTTTACAATGGTGTGTTAGTTTCTGCTTTATAACAAAGTGAATAGAGCTGAGTTTTTTACCCAGGTCTGCTCTCTCTGCCACACCATGAGCAGTGTTAAAGCAAGGGCTGGGCAGCTGCCTTCCAACATGCTGGAGGAAATTGTAACGTCTGCCTTTTCATCCTGAGATTCCAGTTTTTCTAGAAACACAGAACTAAGAGGGAAGAGCCCAGAATTTTTTGGCCACAGCTCAGTCCCTTTAACTTGCAAAGGGACCCGTATCAGACCACTGCCGCCATCCCTAGCTTGCTCAGCTCCAGGACAAACTGTGATCTGAAAGATAGACCCTACGGACAGGTTAGGGATATCTGTTCAGAAATCCGTGGAAATCTGAATTTCCATCCTCGAAAGCACTTCCTATTCCCTGGGCCCCCAGATTCCTGCAAATAGGCAGCAGACATTGCTCCCATCAGCCCACACTGGAGGGGACCCTCGCTGTGCACACCAGAATTCGTGTACTTGCATGAGAGGAAGGACATATGACTTAATACTGATCACCTTCCTCAGGGCAACCCTGTGAGCTAGGACGAACCGTGCTCACTTCTATTTTACAGACATAAAAATTAAGGCACAGAAATTATGAAACATGCCGGTTTGTACTCACATATTACGACAAAATATGACCAGTGTTCTCCTCAGGGACGGCTAATAGGATTACTTGGGATTGTTACACAGAAGCCCCCAAAGTGCCTATTAACTCTGAGTAAAGCCACCAGAGAATGCGATTTATCCATCACCATAGCTGGTCCGAACCAGGAGTGAGCAAAATGGAAAACAGGTAAGGGAAAGGAGAACACTAGTTCAAGAAAGTGTGATGGCGAGGTGAGCTGCTAGATTCATGCGGTTTGTATGGGGGGATTATGGATCACTAGATTTTAACTTGCAAACCCCTAAACTTGCCTTAGTTTTCTCTGAAACCCACAGCACCAATCCTCCCTTCAGACCAAGGCCAGCAGAAACCTCGCCATGGGGGGATCTTCTCGAGTTGCTCCTAAATAATGGAGTCAGGGAGGGAATTTCCAGGGTCCGTGGGAGAGCTGCAGTGCGGTCAGGTGGCTGAGCCTGGGCAGCTGTGGTCACACACGTCACCATGAGCTGAAGTCTGGGCCAAGAGCACAGGACATCCAGGCAGCTGGTCATCATGCCTAAAACAGCTACTTTCTCATTGCTGTCAACCATGTGTTTCTGAAAAGTGTTGGAAATTCAGATTTTCCTAGAGGGTAGCTGTTAAAGCAATGTATTCACATGCCAGGAGTGTTAAAATTTTTGTGTTTGTTTTTAATGCTTACTGGTACTTTTTGCATTAAAAGGAACTACAGGGCTTCCCTCGTGGCACAGTGGTTAAGAATCCGCCTGCCAATGCAGGGGACCCGGGTTTGAGCCCTGGTCTGGGAAGATCCCACATGCCACGGAGCACTAAGCCTGTGCGCCACAACTGCTGAGCCTGTGCTCTAGAGCCTGTGAGCCACAACTACTGAGACCACGTGCTGCAACTACTGAAGCCTGCGTGCCTAGGGCCTGTGCTCCGCAACAAGAGAAGCCACAGCAATGAGAAGCCCACACCGCAAAGAAGAGTAGCCCCTGCTCTCCACAACTAGAGAAAGCCTGTGCGCAGCAACGAAGACCCAACCCAGCCAAAAATAAATAAAATAAATAAATTTTTTAAAAAAAGGAACTACAAATGTGTTATTAAGGTTTCCACTTTAAATGTACAATTTTACCTTATTTTATTTATATGGAAATGTTACAGAAAATGCAAATATCAATATTTGAAAAATACATTCCATTACACGGACTCCAAAGAAACAATGCTGCTAAGCGCCATGGTGCTATATGATGCTCTCGCCCCACGCTGAGCACCACCCGGAATGGCTTGGAAGCCAAGGTGATCAACCCAAATGTGTGCCTGCAGTTTTGGCCCAGCCTCCCCCTGGGTATAGCACACAGGTATGTCATGGTAACAGCCAACTCCACACATCTTCCAAAAAAGGACATTAAGTCATTAAGCTGAGCAGGCTGCCAACTCAAGACTCCCTAGCTACAGAAAACCAATGTTGTCGGTTGTAACAGGTTAATATATTATTTATGCCACACAAAAAAGTAACAGTACAGGCAATGATCTTCCAAAGAAATCTTTAAGGCATCTATGATGACTTCTGGAAATTTAATAAGTGTTTAGTCAAATAATCAGCTCTTCACTAAATCACTTCCACAAAATGAGAATGTGGCTTCCAAACGCTTTAGAAAGTTATTTGTCCTCGGCTTCCTCCTCTCCCCGGCGGGGTTGGGGAGCTTTGGTGCTTCAGATTAGGAGAGGCTGGTCTTGCCAGCCCCATGCCCAGTTCTCCTGGGCCTGGGCCTGAGGGAAGCAGTCCCAGGTCCTGGAAGAAAGCTTGTTTCAGGAGCTCTCTCTCAGTCTCAACCTGCAAGCTCCACGCGGGGCTGTCATGGAAGCGTTACATTTACTTGCTCGTGCTACTGTCACCTGGGGAGTTAGTTTGCCTTTCAGATCTAAGCATTACATAGTTCAATAGGGTTTTTTCTCCAGATTAAAAACAAACCTAGGTGGAGATCAAGGTTTTCCCCTGTCCCAAGGCTTTTCCTCCACTTCATGCCTACAGATAAGATTAGCACAATACCGTTCAATACAACAAGTGGGAGACATGAACCGGGAGTGGTGGTGAACCCACAAGCACGCTGAGTTCCATGCAGGGACCCCATTCAGGGAGAGGAGAGAGGAAAGCTGAACAGGGCGGTCACAAATAACTCAGGGCTCTGAGGTAGAGGACTAGTGGTCACGTGGACCCCACTCCTGGAGAGAATATGGCAGGTGAACTGAACAATCTAATCCAGCCTCGACTAAGTTGGTAACTGGGGTTGACGATGCACAGGCAACAAACTCCAAACAGAACACATATTCTAATACAGCATTCAATGAGACACCACTAAAAGATAACTGAAAATTAATAAGTCCTAAGTGTAGGCACTTAAGTTTGTGGGAAATTCCTGTGTTCGAGGATCACAGCAAGTTAGTTTTAGCCATTCCATTTATATATATAGCACATAGTTTGTACCTTCATCTTTAAAAAAAAAAAAGAAAGGACTGTTAAGAACACCCTGTATCATAAATCTGGTGATGAGCATGAGGCAGTTAAAAAGCTAATTTAGCGTAACAATGTTGACTGATTCAGCAAATTATATTTCAATAAAGTTTATTCTTCCTGCTCTACTCATTCACAGTTGGCAACTTTCTGAATGAAAAAAATTGAGTTTTTTCAATTAGTATGTAAGCTATGGATTAAAATGTAACAAGAACAGCCAGGCAGATCTAGAGTCAAGTCTGACGGCTTGGAGAGCACAAAGGGGACTGAGAGCATGTCAAGCCCCCCAGGTCAGCCACCACTCAAGGAACATGAGACACAGCCCCGCAAGCATCGGCATGGCAGGGAGAGCCTAAGACTGTGGAAAGGTGCTTTTTCTAGATCTACAAGATCTACCTGAAGCCAATGCAGAACTCACAAAATGTTCCCCCAACTTGTGGCAGCTAAGTACCATTGCTATCCCTGGACTCTGTGAAGAAAAAGAAGCGTGACTCAACAATTTCAAACATGATTTCAAGATTCTTAAGTGAAATTAGAGTGTTATTGAAATTGGTATAGTAGGGCAGGGGCAGGACAATCAACCTCATCCCTGATTGAATTCCCATCCTGCTCTCTCTACCATGAACGTTAAAAGAACAGGTATAAAAGTACCGACTACCTCAATTCATATCTGAAGCATAATTATCTTACTTTCCAATTAAAGAATCAAGCCACCTAACTAAGGCCTACTTCCTCAGGCCCTGTTCAGGCAACAGAAAATGGAAACTGACCACACGCTTCACATGGTCAGGTGTTTGCCAAGACTAGCTGTTTTCCTATAAAAATTCTATATGAAATATGTCACAGACTTTTGGGGACAGGAGAACTCTTCTAATTAATTTTTTCTTTGAAACATTGTGCACAAGCTCATATTAACACAGAAAGCATATATGCCTTATAAATCCACAGAAATGTTAAAAAAAAAAAAACGTAGCACTCTGGTTTATCAGCTCATTTTACACACATATTTAGGCAGTAGGATGTATAAACCTACAGCAACATGGAGGACATAGCATTATCCAAACAAAACAACAGGCTGCTGCAAAAAAAATATTTAGTCCCTTTTACACATATATTCATACTTCATTAATACAAAAAACTGTAGTGGTTAAATGTCTGAAAAAAACAGTATGTATGATTGAGATCGTTAATCTCTGAGTATAGCTGTACAACACATATTGTTCATCTCAGAGTTTTGTTTTGTTTTGTTTTTAAAGCAGTGGTAGAAGTTTCTCTTTAAATGTGCATTTAAAAAAAAACTGGCCAAACCTTCAAAAGAAAAGAAGTTTAACACTTCAGGATTAATGCATGTACTAGCAGCAACTAAGGTCTGGTAGGCTCTGGGCGCCTCATTCAGCACACGAGCGAGCCTTCCAAGATGGGGTCACACACACTTGGCCAGGACCTTTGGCTGTTGGCTCTTATGGGGCAAGGACCTGAGACCTGGGACGGACAGCACTCACAACATAACTGCAAAGGTTTCAGCAAGAAGCACTCATGTCAAGGAGATGGGACCTGCCAGCCTGAGGCTGGAGATTCCCCTTCCCCTCACTTGGCCCGTGTCACTCTCCTGCTCCAAATGACACTCCGCAGGAGTTTTCCCTTTAAGACTTAGTGTGAGCTGAGGTCCAGTCAGAGCCGATCATTAGAATCACTGATGCACAGATGTGTGTATTTCTGAATATGGATTTTTAAATTGGAATCGCCAATAATGCAGCTATATAAAAAGTGCAGCACAATAAAAGTGCATTTTCTCCACCACTGCCTAGTGGCAGGTGACTGAGGACTCCATAGACAGGACACAGTAAGATGAGAGAACAAGACGGCTGCTAGGAGGTGTCAAGCTGCCACACCGCAATCCTGGCACCCGAGTAGCATGAATACTGGTAAAGCTTTCAGTTGTTAAGGCCACAAATTTTCAGCTCTCATCTTTGAACCCTGCTTAGAAAGATTTCACCTTTTTTAAAGGGGTAGTTCACTAAAAATACAGCTTAGCTTTTCCCCCCCCCAAAAAAAAGAGAGAGAAAGAGAGCAAGATTTCAGGGCTAGAGGATCCTATTACCTTTATGAAAACACTGTGCAGAAAAGTCCACAGCCACTTACCCTAGAGTAAAGCCAGCTCTTGTTGTGCAGCCAGACACCAGCTTCCTACGGTTAGGCTCTGCCTAGGAAGTCCACCCAGTCAGGAAGACTTCATGAATGCTCTGAGATGGACACTAAGCTACTGGAAGGGAAGATGGTTTTCGAAGCATCCTTGTACATTGCTAGCAGAACGGGGTCTAATTCCTATCACATTTACCACTTAGGCTAAAAGACCTGGTCCAATTAGTGAGACATCTAGTGACCTTGATCATAGTCTGATAAACTGACAATCATACAGAATTATTTGAGATGGGATCTATCACACCATGGTCCTTAATTGTTCCAGTCTATTGCCGCAAGAAGACAACTGCCAGCTCCTGCTCTGGGGGGGTGG